GCACAGCTGGATATTCCAAACGTCCCAACACACAGAGGACCCACGCAGCCGTGACACGGCGCGAGGACCCCCGAAAAGGCTGAGACAAACCTCCACAGAGCTGTTCACCAGACAGACACAGCCGGACAGCACAGCAGCCGGACACACACACACATACACACTGCTCAAAGCTTCCGGGACTCCCCCCGCCGCCGCTCATTGGTCCACGTAAAGGCTCCTTCTGACGCGCGCCCGCAGGCACAACCCGGCACGCGCTCCCCAGCGCCACCTGCTGGAGCGGATGTTCTACATCATCTCCAAACGAGGGGCTGGTCTGGCTGCTTCCAGCCGGGGTCTGAGAGGCTTCACGTCTCTGAACCTGTCCTGGTACCCAAACACAACAAAACACAACCCCCTCCCTCTACAGGATGCTGCCCTCATCATGCCAAGACATAAAAACATGCCTGAAGTTCTAAGGAGGCTGACGATGGCGTTTAAAATGTGCTACGTTTTTTTATTAGGGGCGGCCCGGTGGTGTGCTGGTCAGTGCCATCACCTCACAGCCAGAGTGTTCTTGGTTCTAGTCCCCGGGGGAACCAGGACCTTTCTGTGTGGAGTCTGCATGTTCTCCCTGTGTCTGTGGGTTCTCTGGCTTCCTGCCACAGTCCAAAAACTTGTATGTTAGGTTTACTGGACATTCCAAATGTTTTTGTTTGTTTGTCCTTGTGTGTCTCTGTGATGGACTGGTGGACCATCCAGCAGCGTGACCCCGCATCCTGTCCTTTGACCACTGGGATAGGCTCCAGTTCTCCCCGCGACCCCATCAGGGAATAAGCGGTTACAATATTGGAAGGATGGTTATTTATTACCCTTTGTGCAAGTTGTGTATCTCTGGCTGACAGGAGAGGGCAGCTTACACAGTACAATACCATAGGCTGGAAATAGTTTAATTAATTTAAGATTTACATACAGTTGCTAAAAAAAGAATGGCATTTCCAAGCATATTCAAGAATGAGAATATTTTGAGTACAAACAATTATTGTGTCTCTGTGAAAACAAAAAAGAACAATATCTGACAGAATATGCTTACTATCAATGGAATCATCACACAATGAAAGTCAAAAGGAAGCAGAAGCTCTTACCCCCCCCCTCCACACACACCTACACAGACACCCACACACACACACACACCCACACACCCAGTGGTGCCTTCTACTGCTGAGCACACTGGGTCTCCATGCTGTTGTGAGAGCTGACATGGATCATCTCCACCGTCCTTTGCTTCCGTTTCCTGTCTTCCCGTTTGTTCTGCTGCTGGTTCTCCTCGCTCTCCTCCTCTCTGGGCTCCGCCGGGGCGCTGAGGACAGACCCACAAAGCTGTCAACGCGACGCAAAGTTTGACGCAAAGTGCGGTTCTTGTTCCTAACGGGTTTAATCCTCATTCAAAAGGGGAACATCCCCCGGAGACGGGGCTCTGCTTAACTCATTGGCTGCCAGAGACGTCTATAGACGTCTTTTATGTTTTTCAACGAGAGTGGCTTGGGGGACGATCTGTTAAGCTTGTCCGTAAATATCAGGCTTCTAGACAGAGTATGTAGTAACAAATTGACCCTCTAGGTGGCAGTGCCACTTTTGATGGGAGATGATCATATACTGTAGGCAAATAAGAAAAAGGTAACGGTTCTATGAGAGAACATGTCGCCGGTGAGACGCAAGTCGAGGAAGAACGGAATAAGGTAGAAACACATTTTTTTCCTGATGAAAGAAGAGAGTCTACTCTTTCTTTTGGTGTGTTCGGTGTTTACATAGTCATAGCACAAACTATTCTGTGGCTCTTGAAAAATCAGTCAAAATGCTCAAAAACTCTGGCAGTATCGGACTCTCTGTTGTGAAAATGGCTGGCAGTCAATGAGTTAAAAGCCTGGGGAACGAGCGGTGCTGGGGGGCTCACACACAAACACACACACACTGACCTGGGGTCGGGGATCACGGCCGGCTCGTCCACGCTGATCTTCACGCACTTTGAGGGCCGCGGCTCCGGTTCCGGCTCCGGACCTGGACGGACCAAAGGGAGGGGGGAGGGGGTTCGGCTGTTTGTCGCGGCTAGGCGGGAGGAAGTGAAAACGGGGACTAGTGGCTCTCACCTGGGGCGGGGCCCGGGGCCTCTGCCGTAGGGCCGGCCGGAGCCTCGGAGGCCGGCGGGATCACCTCCACCGCCGCCGGCGTCTGCTGGCCCCCCCCGGGGGCGGGCTCGTTTGCGGAGGGCGTGGGGTCGGCTGGGAGTTTCTCTTTCCTTTTCCTTGGGGCGGAGTCTTTTTTGGCCTCTGCAGACAAAGCAGCGCGTGGTCAGCAGTGCCCCGGAGGACAGGCGGCGCGGGGCCGTACCTTTAGGCTCGTATTTGTGTTGGAGGTCCTCCACACGCAACTGAAGCCTGATCTTGTCGCTCTGAGTCTGCGGGGGTGAAGACAGAGTAAAAAAAAACATATACCTACAGTGGGGGAAATAAGTATTTGACCCCTTGCTGATTTTGCAGGTTTGCCCACTTACAAAGAATGCTTATTTTTCCTCATCAGATGGTTATCGATTTTTATAAATTCATATGATGTGATTTTCTGGAATTTTCTTTGAGATTCTGTCTTCACTGTTAGAATGTACATATGATTAAAGTTATAGATCGTTGCATTCTTTGTAAGTGGGCAAACCTGCAAAATCAGCAAGGGGTCAAATACTTATTTCCCCCACTGTATGACTTTAATTCAGAAAAAAAATCATTAGATAGATAGATAGATAGATAGATAGATAGATAGATAGATAGATAGATAGATAGATAGATAGATAGATAGATAGATAGATAGATAGATTTCCGTACAAGTAAAAAAAATGAATATTGTGCAGTCCTGTAATTAGTCCAGTTCTGTGATTGAGGCTCTGACTTGGGCGGATAAAATAAAATACGTTGTAGAAGAAGGGTTCAGTGAATGCGCATATGAAACCGGTGGGTCCGGTACCCCTAAAAGGTTAAGAACGGCTGCTCTAACAGGAGGCGGCACACGCTCCTACCTGCTTCAGCAGCCGTTCGGATGTGAAGAGCTTCCTCTCCAGCTCCAGGGCCCTCTGACTCTCCGACAGAGACTTCATCCTCTGCAGGGAGAGCTCGTCCCCCAGGCGCACCGCGTCTTTGCTGAGAGCAGACACACCTCTGAACGTCTGAACACCAGTTCCACCGGGTCCCCCGCCCCCCCTATCCGGAGCGGCGGGACTTACACAGCGTTGCCGAGCTGCATTTTCAGCAGGTCCGTGTAGTAGGTTTCGTCCTGGCTGTCCCCTCCCTCCGCTGGACCGGGCTTAGCCGGCTGGGATTTCAGCAGCATCTACACACAAGGACATGGATTCCCAGGTGAACTGAGCTCAACAGAGTGCGGGGTGCGTTCAGGTTCACACTGTAAATCACTAAACTGTGTAAAATGACCTCTGCAATGATCTGACTTCTCCTCATAAGGTAAAAATTTCCTATCTGTACATACACAGGACGGGTAAGTCCACGGGGGTTTCCATGGCGTTCCGCCATTTAGAAAAACTAGAATGGCAGAGAGGGACATAAAGCACTAGTCTTCCTGTCTAGCTAATTACCAGATGTAATAACTGAGAGGCGCTTGCTTGTCGCCTCTATGCTAGTCGCTGGCCCGGCTAATTTGAAAGCTTGCATTGCACTTTAGTCCGTAAAGGAGGATCAGACTTATGCCGAGCCACAGGAGAAGGAATCATCGTCGCCCAAAAAGCGGAAATGGAAATTAAAAAGGCAACGTGACCGGCAAATTCAAAAAACGAGGGTGAACATCGGGGTCGCTTTTCCCAGGTGGAAAGAGCTAATGAAGGAGGAGATCTGGAGTTTGGAATTTCTTTTAAATTCCAAACCTCATCACCCAGAGAAAACTGGATGAAGTCATGTTGTCATTACTTCCTGATTCAGTCGGGGGGGGAACACTGCGAGGCACTGGAGAGCACGATTTGTTAGAATGCTAAATACAATTTTCCCGTCAGATGGGAGAAATTCCTACACCGTGTCCCTTGAATTTAAAGTGCTCACCTCCACCTTCTCCAGCCTCTGCAGTTTGGTCATCAGGTTCTGGATCTCCCCGTTCTTCTCGGAGATCATGGACTGGAGCCTCTCCAGCTGAGCGGGGTCGGCTCTGGAGCCCTGCAGCTGCATGAGGGTGGCTATCTGGACCTGCGCCGCCCCAAACCAAAGTCAATCAGGCCGCAGGTTCTCCGGCGAGAACCGGCCCACCCCCCCCCCCCCCCCCGCCCCCCCGAGCCCCCCCCCCCCCCCCCCCCCCCCCCCCTGATGCCGTCGGTACCTTCATGCGCTGCATCTGCTGCTTGCTGAAGGCGTGGATCTTCTGCAGGGAGTGATACTGAACCTTCACGCTGATGAGCTGCTTTTCCATCTCGGCTCTTTTGTCCTCCAGCTGCAAAACAGTAGACGCACTCCGGTGAACGGTCTTTGTTTTGGTTGTGCGGCTATCGAACGCTAGATCGCACTATGGTGCTGGCAACGAGGAGGTTTGGGACTGGGCGCAAGTAGCCAGTAAAACTCTCTTTTACCTCGGCAAACAGCGAGTTCCCCTTGCTGTTTGGATCCTGGGCCTCTTGGAGAACCTGATCCAGCTGGATCTGGAGGTCTCTGTTCAGCTCACGGGATTTCTACGTCGTGACAGAAAAAATAAAAACAAATCAGATGAACAGTGAGTTCAGATATGCGAAATATCACAGAAGTCCTCGAAAAACAAAGTCCGACACAAGTTAAAAACTCATGTCGCTTCTTTAAAATGCATGAATTGTTTTATGTTTGCATGCACTAAGTTTATATTTATAGCTTCATCAATGATTTCTTCCGGGAAGTGTTTTATGATCATGTTTTATGATTATCCGTACATCATTTCACTCAAAACAAACAGGAACCCATACAGCACATGATAGACAGAACCACGCCAACTGGAAATGCTCTTTGAAAACCTAAACTGGAACTAGAACAAAGCCAAACATGCCTCTTATTTAGGACTTAGGAAAACAACGCCCTAGATTCAATCTAGGAAGTCAAATAGCCAGTGAGCGTGCCCACCTCTAACGCGTTGAACCAGGAGACGGCTTCTTTCTCTCTCTCCTCCTTCTCCTCGGTGATTCGCTCCAGGTGGCGCTGCAGGCTGCTGGTGTTCAGCTGCAGCTGCTGCTCCTTGTACTGGGACTCCTGCAAGGCCTGCTCCATCTCCACCTGACACACACACACACACACACACACACACACACGTTCTGAAACCAGCCGGCCTCGCTGGTGGAAAGCAGACGGAATCCTTTGCCTTCTTACCCGCGTGTTCTCCAGCTCCACGACCCTCATCTGAACCTCCATCATTTCGGACGTCATGGAACTATGCGTCTGTTCGTTCAAAGCTCGCAGCTCCTCCGTTTTGTTGTGCAGTGTCTCCGTCTGCGCCTCCAGTTTGTGTTTCAGCTGTTTTTCGTTCAGCTGGGATTCCTCCAGAGCCGACTGAAGCCTCAGAGCCTGAGGAAAGAAAGAAAAGAACATCCTTCACTGTGGTGCTCTTCATTTTCTCTCTCTCTCTTTCTGATGGCCGCCTACCCTGAGCCATGGTTCTGCTCGAAGTTTCAGCCTCTTAAAGGAAGTTTTTCCTTGCCTGTGTCGCCTAGTGCTTGCTTTTGGTGGGAATTGTTGGGCTTCTGTTTGGAAAGCGCTGTGTGATAACTCTTGTGATTTAGTGCTATATAAATAAAATCTAATTGAATTTAATTCTGGTGACATGTGATTTTAAACTCACTCGTGAGGCTTTAATGTTAGAAACAGGGTGCTGTGTGGTCATTACCTATGTGAGTTTTCTAACACTGATATTAAGCTGGAAGGTCTGACAATAAAACCCTGTTTGTTTATTAACTATTATTAATAAGTGTGATCTTTAAGTGTGTTCATTAAATAAAGATCTAGTATTACAGTGTACATTTGTAAAGCACTGTCCCATCTCTATATTCATCCAAAAGCCGAATGACAAATATCCCACCAGGCCACGCAGGGCTACCTTGTTGTGAAGCTCATTTACTGCCAGGCTGTGGTTCATCTCGAGGTGCTCTTGCTGCTCTTGAAGCTGCTGTTTCAGCTGCTTTTTGAAACATTCATATTCTGACTGCAGCGACTCCAGCATACGATTCTTTAATTCCACTTCCTTCTGCAGTGAGTACTTTTCTTGTTCAAGAGCCTAAAACACAAACATTTATTACACTTAAACATCGTGCAGGTATGAAACCATCTCCCACTTCATCCACACGCTTAAGCGTAACTTCACCAGATAAATATAGTATAGTCTGACATCAGGATTCGTTTAGAATTGAGAGCAGTATGTCAAGCGTCTCATTTTGTTCACAAAATAATGATATTTTTATCAGAAATGTGATGTGATGTGCAGAGGCACAGCTTCCCACCTCAAGGGCGTTGGTCATCTCTACTCTCTGGTCATCCAGCCTGCTTTGAAGCTCCACCTGTTGGTTCAGGAGATCCAAACCAGCCTGAGCGGCCTGGTGGACCTGCTTCTCCTTCTCCTTCAGCTGGCTCCTCAGCAGCTGAATCTCCTCCTCCGCTGCCATCTGACCAAAAGAAAGGTGCATTTACTCCCTGCTTTACGCATCCGTCATCGTGCCGACACTGTTGTGGTACCACCATCATGATTAGAGCAGGATGACGGAGCATCCTAAGGAAAACAAAAGTGCTGCTTACGTGGAGTTGGATGCACCAAAAAGTTGCACCAACTCTATTCCACTTGTGGGTGATGGAGCAAGCACTTAAAGAGGGTTTTCCCTCCCATTTGTCACTTGTTTTTTATTTTTTTATTTATCACAAATGAACTGTTAATTCGCTTTAAAGCATGGCTCCAGTGCCATAGCAGTTTTCTATGATTACTTACCTGAAAAACACAATCAAAATCAAATTTCTGATCACATACTTTCCAGTCAGATCCCATTTCTACACCATTTTCAGGGGAGGAAAAAACTCTATATTGGGGACCACTATCCACTAAAGATAAAGCCTTTCGTGTGCTGCATATAATATTTCAGTGTAAATTTCCAAGTCCATTTGTAAAAATAAATGTCTATTGCAGTCATACTCATGATGGACACGGTCAGTTCATAAAGCGCTTGGAGACAGACACTTTTCCAGGTGCTTCTACTTCTATTCTCACAGTAAAGCCATTATATCCGTTAGAGATATTTAGTTTACTTTTACCAGCTTCATCACACTTAACTAGTTCCGGTATTGAAAAGACACAACAAACAAGCATCGGCTAGAAAATCTGTCGAGCATCGGTGGTTCATCATTTTAGCAAGCTACAGTTTACCGAAGTATTCAAACGGCTGCACATACCTTCCCTTTTCCTTAAAGTTGATACATACAATGAGGTGAACACTTGCATTACTGAGATGGTGGTAAAACTCTGACAAAAACAAACGCTAAACAAAACTTAGACTTAGAAAGAAACATATACTGTACCTTTCAAATATCAGTCGTCTTAAACCGCCACAGTTTGAAATCCAGCTACTCAGACTTCTCGCGACAGGTTGCGAGAGTTCAGCGATCCCCGGTGTTTGGGCTTAGTACGGGTACCTCATAGGACACTACAAGCGATATTTAATTTTCATTTCCCGAATATTACACACGTTATCCTTTTATAACAAAAACTACTTTACATTTCAGTGTCAAACGTGCTTTTCTCAGTTACGCATACAAAGCTTTTTTAGGTTTTTCTGTCCAATGTTCTAACACTTCGGAATAATGCGCATAATTGTTCAATAGCCCAAACAAAATGAAGAATAATGAACATTTTACAAACATTTGTCATTAACCTTTAAAGTAGGACACGTAAAGGCGTTATTATCATGTTAACGTAGCCACTGCATTTTCAATGTGATGCTCACGCTTTCATACCTGGACCACAAACAGAATGGAACGATGATCTCTATTGGCTCTCGGTGAGCATCATAGCGCGTCTCACCCAATCACGGCCTTTCTTTTAAGACCGCTCGCTTTCAACATAAAACTATTAACGAGCACAGAACGGAGAATGGTATCGGACTGTTAAAGGGACATTTCATGTCAAAACTCTTTCTTATAATCGTTCTCCCCCCGGTCTGAAATATTTCAATTCAAACGTGCTTTATTGGCCTAGCACCAAGAAATAACTTTAGCTCCGTCTTCTGTGATTTGATTTTGTGTTCACATTTCTTAGAAATATGAAGAGAATACGGCAGTAAAAAGTACCTTACTTGCATATAATAAATTTGCATTGAATGTTATTGGGCTTTTCCATAAACTGTACTTTAAAATGTAATATACACTGCTATATTATTTATTAAAGCATGTGCACAATAATGTGATTAAATTAAAAAGATTGACGTGATTGATTGCAATCAAAATATTTGATAATTGCCCAGCACTACTTGAAAGTAATTTTGCACATGACTAGAATATTACCATGATAGAAGTGAGCCTGCTTTATGTTGGAGAGTGGATGCTGTGATTTCTCAATTATTATTTGGGATATTCACAATCCAGTTGGGAAATGTTGTGTCTTAATTTTATACACAAAAACACTTCGGTGATCTAAATGATTTAACAAAAAAAAAAAATTACTAGTAAAATATGCAATCATGCTACAGAAAATAAAAATGAATTTCCAGTCTTAAGAAATGTAAAATGGCCAATTGAATGCTAAAAGACTTCTTTTCATCTGAAATGTAATTCTTACCAGTACTTTATTTCCTTTCTACTAGAGAAAATCCGATAGAGGATATATTTAACTGGATTCCCATTAAGAAGAATGGAATTTGAACAAGGTCAAATCTACTGTGGACATCTAAAAAAGGAATTACTAAGACAATAAATGTTTCAACGGCTTGTCATAAAGCTGGACATATTCTACTTTCACTTTCACCTGAAGGGGTCCTCTACTTATCCCAGCCTTATATGGTAACATCAACATGTAAAGTAAAGTATTCAGAGCTGTGATCACAGTTTTATGTATCTGCATGCAGAAATAAGAAATGGCAAATGTATGGAATTTCAGTATAATTCATTCGTCAACACAGTCAGTGAATGCATTACACTCCACTCAAAGGTCCATATATTAGATTAATAAATGATTTTCACTGCAAAATGACCATCACTCAATTTATGATTTGCTTGCTCACAACATATCGTCTCATTTACTCACTGGAAACAAACGTGTCCTCAGGTTTGGTCAACAGATGTTCATTTACAAAGCAATGAGAAACCAATAGTGTTAATAATGACATCTGTGTGGAATCATACATCTAAAACAACATAAACACGATGTTGTTTCGTTCTCATATTTACAGTAAACAGTTTTATTTTCCCCTCAAGCGGCAGCGATGGAGGCATCGTCCGGCTGTCGACCCTGAGGCTAAACACAGAGAAACAAACCCAGGTTTAGGACAGCAGTTGATAGTTTTTTTTTCCATCCAGGTGACACCGAGCGTGGAGTTTGTGCGTTACCTTTACAAAGATCCGCTGTGGCAGGAAGCGTTGTAGTGCTGGGGTGGTGGAGGTGGGGCAGCGGGGCAGGCAGATGTTGAGCTGTGGTAGTGTTTGGTAACCGGCCATGAGCGGGTAATAGTTGTACAGCATCTGCTGCTCTGTACCCGGGAGGATCCGGAGACGCACCTGCAAGTCAACACGCGTAAAATGCTCGTAGGCGAGTGGGTTTGCATTTTAGGGCCAAAACAAGCCAGCTGGTCATAGGTGGACTTCATTTGGCACCATGTTTCGGTTAGCTGTCCTGAGAAATCTGTGTGCATCAACCCCCTAACCCACCCCCTCCATCCCCTAAAATAGACACTGATGGGTTAGGTACCCCAAAAAAACTAAACAAAACAAACTATCTTATCAGTTACATGATGTCCTTGTCCACTTTCAGAATATTTAGGTTTAGGCCAATGTAATGCAATTAAAAAGTCCAGCGTTAAGAGAATGGCAGTACCTGTTTGAGCCCAGAGAACATGAACGCATCGGAGGGTTCCACAGCCATCTCCACCTCTTGCACCAGAGTTGTTCTGTTCTCGATGTGGTAGCGGACCGGAAGGGACTCTCTGACCCGCCCGAACGATGGCAACTCTGCACCGAAACCAAAGCAAATCTGAGCAATGTTCTCAAACACCAGGCATTAAATGCCACAAGTTGTCAGTTCTGACAGAATACGATGCGTTTGAGGTCTGTTTACTGACCAGCGTATATGTACAGAGGGACAGGTTCCAGGATGATGTGAGGTAGAGTGACCGTGGTCTGGATGAGGGGGCTGTCGGAACTGGAAGACTTTCTGTTAGACAGAGGGCAGACTTTTTATTAGCCCCCGTCCGAACCATTTGTCCTCCTTTTTGGAGTGTGTTTGTGTTTGCCCCTACCTCCTCCATGATATCAAGTACTGTCCCGTGGCCACGGTGTTACTGCTGCTTGTCTGTTGTGGACATCGAAGGCAGAAGCACTCACTGGCGCACTCGCCCGTCTGCAGAACCACTGGGCACACCAAACGACAACGTCCTGAGCTTTGCATTTCGCTGGATTTTAAAAGGACTCGTTATAGTTTGTGACGCGTTCCCGACTGTCGGGGTACCTTCCTCCAGCTGGGACTGAGGCTGTGGCGTGTTGCTGGTCACAGTGAGCAGCTCCAGAGAAGAGGAGGTCAGCAGGAGAGGCCACGGGGATGAGGAGAGGATGTCGGTCATCAGCAGGAAGGGAATGTCCACTGCTACCTGGTCCAACGGCTCAAACTAAAGACGGCGAGGACACTTTAAGGTGCTTACAAGCTCATCTTCAAATACAGTTTCTACACCCAAAGAGTACGTTAGTGCTTTAAGATCTTCTTAAACCCAACAATTTCCTCCCTACATTTTTTTAAACTACAGAACTAGAAAATAGCAAGTTTGAAAGCATTTCATGCAAAAGAGAAAGGTAAAAACACACAACCACGGGTCCTTCGACTGACTCCAAACTAGTTTGCTGACAACTGGAGAGGGAAAAGTCTCCATACAAATTCAAGGAAAACATCTACAGCCACACACCTTAGTGGATACAAACTTGACCGACACCTCAAAAGGGACCACAGTCTCTATGGTCACCGTCTCATCCTGGAGGAAAAAGAAGAAAAAAAGATGGCTGCTTGCTCATCTTTACCGAGTAAAAAAGATGTGACCGTGAAAGTAAGAAAAGAAAAGCAGTAGACCCGTGACTCCCTTCCCACCTTGTGACATTTGCAGACGATCTGGTGTCCTTCCACTGTGGTGTCAATGCTGTAGGCCACGTGGACCAGGAAGACCCTCGGCCCAGTCGACACACACTTGACGTAAACGCATTTCGTGAACTAGGGCGGAAGCACAAAGACGGGACGGGGTTTATTCCGGCTGTGGGGAGGCTGAAAGGAGGGCGGCATGCAAGACGTTCTTAAGAAGGTGCGCGTACCGTCTCCCCTGGTTCCAGATCTCCCAGAGGAACGTCCGGGAGCAGGGCCGGCGCGCCCTCGTCGCAAACCTTGGAACCGTCGAACGTCACGTGGGTAGTTTGGCCCAAATTAGCGTCCTGGCCTGAAGGAACCGAGAGAAACAAGATGAAGACGAAATTCCACAGTGATGGGTGACGGGGACCACGCCTCCAGCTGACTCCCCGGCATGATCTCACATCAAATAACCCATAGAAGACTAGAATGCAAACATTGTTATCTGTTCTCTGCTTTTCTATTTCCCAGCAGCGATCCCCGCTCTGGTGTCAGGGTATTCTCTCTTAGCACTCTTATTCCAGTCCAGGCAGGTGACCAGCGCTCCTGACTCTGGTTCTGATGGAAGTTTCTGCATGTTAAAGGGAGTTTTTTCTTTTCACAATCTCTTTTTTGTCAGCTCAGGATGAGGGGGGTTGGAACAGAGAGACATTTCAGAGAAATCCGGATTGTGAACGTATTAGAATGAATAATTCTGATTGGCTTGAAATGAATTATTTCTCTGACGTAGCTTAAAGAAAAAAAAAAGAAATGAATCGCGGAATTGGCTCAACATGTTGGGAAATACCAACCTAATATGTGTGGGTTGAGTAGAAAGATGGAGAGTCAATTTGTCGGTAATAAAGAATGAAAACTGCACTTTTTTTCTGCTCTACTTATTCGGGCGTACCTGGTTTGAGACCCACTGTCAGTCGGACATCTTTGGCCACGGCTTCCTCCTGCGATTGGACGGTGAGGTCGATGCGGTACATTTCGTTGGTGAGAGCGGGCGGCTGGTGGCTCAGCTGAACGGAGATCTTTGGGACTCTAGAGATGATCCTGCTCACCCCGTAAAGGAAAAAGGGAAACATTTGCGTTAGAAAGCTCAGTTACTTTCTATTAGGATTAGGATTGTTCAGTGTATTGTCTGCTCGGTTAGTTCCCTTATGTGCCATCTAGTGGACAATAAATGTAAACCGTACAGGGTGATTACAATGAGACTCTGACATTGGTGTCTGAAGCATTGAATGAATTAGCCCAATTGGCTACTGGGATGGGCTCCAGTCCCCCCCCCCCGATCCCATTAGGGAATAAGCTGTTACCATAATGGACTGATGGAGGTTTGTGATGCTTATACATAAATTATAAACTATTATGTGCCGTCTGTCTTTATGATACAATGACAGGGAAGCTTTAATAACACACTCGGAATTAGGTCCCAAGTCCACAAAATGTGAGATGGGGATCCATTTCAAATAGACCGCCAAACCGTGAACCACTTCCTGAATCAGTCACGTGGTCCGGCCGGCTCGCGAGGCTTCAAACGCCACCACATACGTCATCGACACAAGCCTTAATATGGAGGGACACATCACTAGCTAGTGTATGGTGTTATTGGGTATTGTTTACCTGAATATGGCTAAGGCTAACACTGCCGCGATGCTTAGCTATGACGCTAATTCTCACCGTGTATTACGAGTGCTTGTTCCCAATACGAGTCACGCCTCATTACTAAATACACTCCTTTATGTTCAGGTATTTGTGTACATTTTTTATGTTGTGTTGCACTTATTTCTGCTTGTATTTCTTTATAGAACCACATACATTTAGTAAATCCCCCATCAAATCTCCTGGAGAACACCCCTTTCTCCTTTTTAATTTGGTTGCACCACGGTGAGGACAACAGGTACAGATCAACATCCCATGAGGTGGAACTCACATGGTGCTGTGCTGCAGAGTCAGACTGTCCCAGTCCGGCTCCTGCCGCGCCTCCAGGCAGCGCCCCCATCTCCGGGAGGACCTGCTGGCCTGCAGGGCTTCGTGGGCGGAGGCGGCGTCCCCGCCCGCCCCCCTCCAGCTCAGGAACACGCAGCGGCCGCTCTCACTTCCCAGCATGGCCTCGATGCCCGTCATCTAGGTGGACGCGCACACACAGAGCTATTGACCACCGCCTGGTCTGTCCACCCCCCGCCACCCCCATCTGTCGCATGGTGGCCTACCTCTATCTTCTTCCCCACGTCTTCGGTCTTCGCCACGAAGCTGAAGTTGTAGCATTTGGTTTTTCCTGGTAGCAGGGTCATGCTCTCCTGGCCTGGCGATTCCACCACACACCACTGGTTGTATTCCTGAGCACAAAAATCGACAGCAGACATATAGTTGAAGCAAAGTTTGAGATGGTCAGTCGTTTGAAACGTTGTTTCATTTATATGGCGACAGCTAGAGATTCTGTCTTTGGTAGGAGCATTGCCATTGGCTCCACTTCCCACAGCTGTCAGGGGTCTGTCTGCAAGAAAGTGGATCTCTTTAAAGGTTCACAATGTAGGAATTTCTCCATCTAACGGTGAAATTGTATTTAGCATTCTAACAAATCGTGCCCTCTAGTGCCTCTTGTTTTCAAATAGGTATTGAAGCTAGCCGTCATGCATCAAGAAGTAATGACAACATGACTTCTACGTCATCCAGTTTTCTCTGGGTGATGAGGTTTGTAATTTAGTAGAAATGACAAACTGCATTAAATCATTAGTGTGTGTGTGAAGAATCGGTGGTCACGCTGGGGAAAAGCAAACTTTGTTTCACAACCTGAATCGACCTCCGTTAGCTTCCCCTGGCAGAACTAGGTCAGTCAGTCAGTGTTTCTGTCATCTGAGACGAGTGCTGGTTCCTGAAGTGGCAAATATGCCGGTTTGGAAAGAAGGCCTGAATTAAGGTGGCTGGACTCTACTTCAAGGTTCATATTCCAACTTTTGATATTACCCAAGACCTTGGTGACTGAGAATCTACACCAACGTGTTCTAAGCAACAGAAACAAAGGAGCTATGCTAGCATCAAAGCCAGCTGCTCAGAGGTACGGGAACAAGGAAACGGTCTTTACGCTAACCTGGCAACCAACAAGGTTCACAGCCATCAGCGTGAACCCAACTGTACACAGTTAAGATGGCAGAGGCTTAGGGCGTTATTAAAATAAATGTTCAAAAACATAAGACTGTAACTAAGGAAGCTGGTGAAAAGCTTTCAGTTTGACCTAACGCGGGCTTTTTCCTTCTTTTGGCTTCTGATGAATACCTGGTTGCTGAGGCTGACGGCCAGCTTGTGGAAGGACACCGGATGAGGACAGTCCACTCGGAGGAAGACCTGAAGCTGGATGGGCTGGTCCACGTGGAAACTGGGAGACTGGAACTTGCCCTTGCACTGGACTGAGGTCAGGAGGGACGACGGAAGGGTCAACACACTGAACAACACACTGGGACCGGTTCTAATATATGCTATTTTCGATTTCAATTCAAAATTGTATTTTCCTGATAAAAATGTGGTAAATATATATATAAGCTGCTTGTATATTTTATATATGTTCTTGTGTAAACAGTTTCCATTAAGTACTGAGTGCATGTTCACTGACTGAATGGGATGTAGTCCTGTACTTCTATTGTCATCTCATTGGATCCAGCCAGTGCCATGCGGTCAGTCCACAGTGACCTCGCTGCACTGACCGAAGAGGGATCACACTCAGGCTCAGACTCGGGGACTTCATTCTAAAAAAAAAAAGACAAAAAACATGCGCACGGATGAGATTAAAACGTACCACGGCAACCGTTAGGTGAGCTCATCACTCCTCTGTCCACATGTAGCTGTCGAATAGGTTTCATCTATTTCTATAGCACTCTGACTGAGTCAGAAAATACTCCACAGGATTATTCAGTGTCATGCTGCATCAATAGACCGTTACTGACCATCAGGACTTTGAAGAGATTCTTTTCAATCCTTGACTTTTGTTCCTCCTTCAAGGTAGAAGCTGCAGGACAAAAAATGATTCATTCATTTTGAGAACAACTCGTATTCCATGTTTATCATTACGCTAAACAGAGAGAAACTAGGATTGTCACGATACTAAAATGTTCAACTCGATACCGATACTCAGGAAAATATTTGATACTCGATACCATTTTCAATATCACAAGAATAAAAATAAAGAACCCAAAAGTTAACTGAATTTGGACAGGTTGGTGTCTTTGGTTTCAAACTGACCTGTTACTGATGTTATCGTGGCCGGTGGCCCGCATTGATGTCAGCGTATTAGTATTAGTTATGAGCCGCAGCTAGCAATTCAAGGCTAACATCACGTTAATGATCATAAACAACGTAAATAAATAAATAAACCAGAGTGAAAAGGCGAAGCGTCGGCATGTTGGTCGATACTTTGGGAAACGAGTATCGTATCCAGATACAACGTTTTATGGGTACTTTTGACAACCCTAAGAGAAACACACTCTGCATGGAGCTCGCTACGTTCAAATGGTTAGAATGACCGGGGCACTGAGGGCCCAGTTCAACGAACCAGAGCTGAAGAACGACCCGTTACCTCTGCCTAGCAGCTCCATGCAGTAGATGATGTAGTCCTTCACGCTGGCCATCAGGTAGGCGCAGCGCAGAGCCGTGGTCAGTATGGCGGTCAGGAGACCCCACCACCGCTCTGTGCGATAGTCGCACATCACGTAGTCCAGGAGTCTGATGGTGGCGGGCACAGTTAATGGACTGAACGGAATTATAGGGAAACAGATGTGTGAATCGGATCTTTAATGGACTTACTTCAAGGCTTTGGTGTAGTCTTTTGCATGGTAGTATTCTTCACCCATCTGCACCACTGTGATGAGACATGAGGGGGGAATTCACACTTTATATGCAACAAACATGTTCCTAACACACAAGTTCCAAAGTATTCCAAAGTCATTATGTGATCATTACTCCTGCATGGACAGAAAACACTTCAAAAGTCTACCTGACAGACTCAAGTCTTTACTGCTTCCTTCATTCTACCTGTTCGTTTTAATAATTGACAAGAGACCACAAAACCTCTGAACATGATACGCACTTAGGTGACTCTTCATTCGAGGGCACTTGTACTTCTTGAACTGGGCAACAGCATTGCTAAGAAGCGCGATTATCAGCTCCTGTCGGGGAAGGCAGACTGAGGTTAATTTTCCTTATGGTGCTTCGGTTTTCTGTGCTGCATTTTGGTAAACGTTCTTACCGAGTGTGGTACGTCTCTCTCCTTGATGTGCAGAGCCAGAATGCCAGTCTTCTCTTTTTCGGCATCTGGTGGATCGATACCTGGAAACAACACGGGGAAATTCAGGTTGCCATGCAGCTGTGTTCATCATGCCAATGTCAGAGGCCGAACAAGCATCTACAAAGAAGATAAGTATTGGGAACAGTGATGACTGAAAGTGAGTCCGCATTCCTATCGGGATTATAGGAAAACTGCCTGACAGAAGTAGGCGAAGCAAGCTTAAACAATTAGAAAAAATCTTTAAAAAAAATTATGAAAATGCAACTCTTTCTGTTTGTGGTGTCAGTGTTAACGGGTGTACAGCTACAAAACACTTTGTGTGTGTTTACTTTGTGGGGAAAATTCAGCATCGAGATCAGCAAATCAATGATACTTCTGTTCAGTTAAAGAGTGGTCCGATTGAATTCACTGGGCAGACTGACGGCTCCCATTTGGGAAGTCCATTTAGCAAATAGTTCTAACTAGAGATTGTAGGGTGTCTGTAAATGTGTCGGAGAGAAAACCTACTCTGGTGTCCTTGTCTCCAGGGTCTCTGACCGTAGAAATCCAGTCCTCCACCTTGGGTGTCCAGTGGGTCAGGAGAGGGATAACTCCCCTCAGCCTAGATTAGCAGACCAGTCAAAATATGAGGTTTTTATTGGGAAAACAAAAGCTACTAATAGAAGCTGCTCATTTGAAATCGGTGAATCCTAATGCTACGTTACATGAAAGCTAATAGTAAACTTAGCGATGCAACCAGCAGAACAAAGATTACTCGGGTTTATGGAGGTAATTGTATGACCTGACACAGCTGCTGTGCCATCTGCTTCCTGTCCTGGCAGTAATAGGCAGCCTGCTGATAGTAAAAACCTGGGTTCTGTGTCTGGATGGCCGTGAGTCCCAACTTTATGGCCTCATCGAAAAGCTCGCCGAAGGATTGGAACCTATCAGGAAGACATAGTTATGATCGAGGACAGCCATTCGTGGCCTTTATGAAAGACTAACATCAACAAGGAAATGAATCAAAATAAATCAACATACACTCATAATCTACAAGTGTATGTTTTCTGTTCCCTACACAACATGTTTCATGATCTAAAAGTGTATGTTTTCTGTTCCCTGCTCAACATGTTTCATGATCTAAAAGTGTATGTTTTCTGTTCCCAACACAAAGTGTTTCATGACCTAAAAGTGTATGTTTTCTGTTCCCTACTCAACATGTTTCATGACCTGAATGTATATATTTTTAAAAAAGGGTATCTCACTGTTTCGACATCCATGCAGAGTGTTCGAAGGCGAGTTCAGCACTGCCAATCTTCTTTTTACAAAAGTCAATGTGCTTCCGGAACTGAGCTATTGCATCTAGGGGAGTATTATGCTGGAAGCAAAGGCGACAGATCTGAAGAGAGAAAAACACAACTCAGACATGTTGGGAAAAGGTGTCTATGGTTCCATCAGTTAGGCGTCATCTTAAACTCTGCTTCCCCCAGTATTGTTTTATCTAAAATTTCTAAATCATATGGATGCATGTGGGCTATATTCTTATGAAAATTCTGTTAATTGAAAACTTATTGACTTGTAAATTACATATAGAAAATTGGTACAACTTTTACAAATAAACACAATAAAAAATATTTTCTAATTGGGGTCAACTTGAGCTCAAATGTACTCCTTTGTTTTCTAGACATCTACATCTATATACATCTATATATACTGGACCGGGAGTCTGGATCTGCATTTTTCATGCCGGCCGATACGCATTTTTTTGCAAATATCGGCAGTTGATCCAATCCTTTTATCGGATCAGGACAAGCCTAGTCTCAACACACAAACTAAGGCCGAAACATACCTTATAGTTGATGAATCCAGCCAGAGTTTTGATCTCCAACATGTTGGTCTCATGTGCTCTGAGCTCGTGCACAAGGCTGTATGCAGTTCTGTAATATCTGCAGAAAAAAACCCGACAAAAGAGTTCAGACAGACGATGGAGCGTTGACAACACCCAACAGGAAGATGATTAGGTTTGCTTCAATAAGTGCAACATTGCCTTACATCAGCAGTTTCTTATCATACATAATTTCTCCTACTTCTCTTTTTTTATTTAACCATTGAACAGGTGGCTGTTAGAAATGCATTTCGTCTACTTTTCCCACTTTTCCAGAGTTCCAGAGGCTTTGACCGCAGAAAACAGCGAGCATAATCAGCAGGGATGTCCGTTCTCAGACTTACTTTAGAGCATTCTGGGTGTCTTGCTTCAGTTCACTGAAGAAAGCGATTTTAAACTGGTGTCGCACAAACAGCAGCTAGCCACATTAGCACATAGAGAGAAAGAGAGGCAGGAATTATTTTTGATATCGTAACTGGAGTTAGAATTTATTCATTTGCAATAATATAGACATTTGTTGACTTTCTGCTGATGAGGAAGCATGTGTTCATACCTGGTGCGTTGTCTTGTTGAGGAATTCTTTGTGGGATTTAACACGACGAATCTCTGTGTAGTAGTATGTCTGAGCGTGCTCATAGAAGGCATTTTCCAACCTTTAGAATCACACAGAACAGCAGGGTATTCAGTATTCGATGCCCACAGGTTTCTTTTTCCCGACCCGACTGCTTTTGTGAATCGATGTACCTTATAATGTAGCCCACTAAGTGGTCAGTGTGTGGCAGAACAAAGAGACTCTTGCCAGACAAATCACAAGCACTACAAAGGGCCGACGCTCTCTCCGATGCAACTAGGTCCTCTCCTGTGAAATTGTGTGGATAAGAGATTCATTTAGAATCAAAGTCAGGGCAAACACATATGTTCCAGAAAAGTCTAAATTTCATTTGGCTTTTCTTGCACAAAAAAAACCTAATTAAAACACTGGAAACAGATTTCTAGAACATGTATTTGCTTTAAATTCTATTTTGAGGTTAAAAAAATGTACCTGGAGGTAGGGGGGTCTTCTTTTGGATTAGAACCACAGCCACTTTGGTGTTCCTGCCCTGAAGACTGGTCCTACAGGGAACCAAAAGGCATTCAAACGATTCAATAAAAAATAGAGAAGTCCTTTGAAGAGGCAAAAGCATACACCAGATTCAGCTGCTGTTAGCATACATTAGCTTCAATCAAATAGTCTTAGAGTTGTACATAGTTTAGGTGAAACAGGTAGTATTTGTGCTGCCATGGCCTACCTGACAATCTCCACTTTAGTGGCACATTCAGACTGTTTCTCCTTCCACTGGGGGTCGTCCCAGTCCAGCTCATAGAACAGCACTACCAGAGCAGGGACCAGGTTCAGGTGTTTGTTCATCCAGCCCGTTTTCAGGATGCCTTTAGGAATGTACCACTCATACGACGTTCGCTGGGCACAAAGAAAAAACTTTAGATGCCGCGAAAACAAGACTCTCCTCGCCCACACACAAACTCACACAAATCTCAACCCACCGCTCACCTTAGTGCGACACTTGGGGTACTCGTGGTCTCCCGGCAGCACTTTGAAGGAGATGGGGACTCTGTCGGCGCGACGGTTGGCACAGAAAGCATCCCAGATGGCCCGGTGCACGGCGTTGTACACCACATCCAGCCCGGTCAAAGCCACAAAGGCCATGGGCCGGCAGCACAGCTCCGGAGGAAGCTCCCACTGGGAACCTGCCATTGTGAGGGTTCAAAAGACACACCTGCCCGAGAAAAAGCAACAGCAACGTTTTTGGACAATCTGTCTCACTGCATAAAAATTTCCTGGAAAAAAAATATAACGGAAGCCTAGAGGGAATTATTAGCTATTTCTCATGTGTTGGTACAATTTGGGCGTTAATGCAGAAGAGGGTGTTTTTAAAACAACTTTGACCATTTTAAACATTTTCAAATAAACCAAGTGCGTTAAAACAGTTGTAAAACAGAATAACACAGTCAATATCATCGAAAAACAGAGCGTAAACAGTCCGTGTTCCTGAAAAAGAACACGCAGGTCACAAGACCTGAAGCTATGTGTCTGCTAACAGGGGCAGCCTTGTTGTTTACATCGTCACACAACAGTCTCCCCATGGCTTCTGCACAATTCAGGACAGGGAGACCTCCACCATTTATGTGAAAGCTCCTGGACACCTTCTGCCCCCCCATATTTTAGACTGTCACAAGCTAACAAACAGTCAAAATCCGCAATGTTAAGGTGAAAGCGGAACTTGCTTTAGTCATGACTGCATCTTGTTAGCATTCTAAAGTCAAATATATAATTGCATGCATTTTTGTACGTAAAACATTTGGAGTTATTGGAGGGTAACATACGTCAAGTACATCACTTCGGGTGAACCTGTAAAGGAGGTGCAGCAGGCTTCGGAGAAGCTGCACTTAAGAGGACTGTTAGCGGATCTGTGGTGGCAGGGTTACACTAGCTAGTAAGCGAGGTTGCTAATTTAACTAGCAAACTACGTCGAATCAGTTGTGAATATCGACCGATTGACTACGTTCTCGCTATTTTTTACCTGTATGTACCATGTAACAACTTGTCGCCAATTTTTGCTGTTTCAACCAACCCCTATGAGACATGAAATGACAGCTAATTTAGCAGGGGTTGCTAAAGCAACCACAGACTGTAGGGCTGGTTAGCAGCCGCTGACGGAACTTGAATACTTCCGGTTCAACTTCCTAGAACGGCTATGGGCAGAGCTGCTGACATACCACGTGACTCTACAACGAGAAGCCAATTTGTTGTGCGCATCGGCAATAGTATCAAAATATGAGATTGCGGATATTGAAATGAAAATAAATATCGAAAGATAACGAGCAAACTTTGGAAGATAATCTTTAATAAAGAGGTTGTGATTTTTTTAAGGATATCATTTAATTGAATTTTAGTCATTGTGGTATGACGATTAAATGAAAGTTCTTGGTATTTTTTTATTACCGACGTGAACAGAAACAGATGCTGAAAACATGATGATTTTTATTTTTTATTGGTGGTCTTTATATACTTATCAAATTAACCTCACTTAACCATTTACAGACAGGTGCTACTTAGGGATTCATCACGTCAAAACAGCCAAAACTTTACAGAACATCTTCACCACATTTGAACATTTAGTTTCTTTAGAACTTATTTTCATTGTATTCAAATGTGTCACGACACTTTGACACATTTGAATAGACTGACTTTAAAAAGAGCATTTGAGCAATTAATAAAGTTAAATCTACACATGCTCCATTATGCCATTAAATACTTTAATCATTATATAGAAATCATTATATAGAAATACAAATCGAGTTCATTATCTTAAAGTCCGGTGATCAGTATACAGATAGAAACAATTTCTTAAATGTGTTTTATTATCGATTGAGGAGATTCTATTTGTATATAAACCTGAGAGACAACCACATGGTAAAACTAAAGTAGTTTTACCCAAAACAATCTTTTTTTCTTATTTCATGTAAATGGAGCTCTCATACCGCGATTTCCATCAAATATCCCCTGTAGTTTTTAGTTCTGTGACCTGTCCATACGTTTTAATGAATATTCCTGAAGGTTTCAAGTAATTTTGAACTTGAATTTATTTTCATAGAACCTTCATCCCTAAAAAATCAGAAGGTGCAGAACGTATTATATGGAACATAAATTAGACACGGACAGAACCTTTTAATGGAAATGTCCTGGTTTGAAATAAGAACTCATGCTATTCTGTTATGTTTTAAGTAATCAAACTAACCGAATACATCCATCCCCTATACTCTTACTGTGTAGTTGTATCCTAGTCGTCATTTAAGTGAGTGCGCTGATTACGTAGGATGCTCGGAGGGTAAACCCTTTCAAATATGACTCATGCTGCACATTTTGGAGTCAAGTGGAGCTGCTGCAGTTTATGCTGACGCTATGAATTCGCAGAGGGCAGATTCGAACTAGCAGCAGGCTCAGCATCACGCGGGCAGATGCGTTTCACCTTCCCCCGTCATCCGACGCACGCTACCGGCCGGCGGACGCGGAGTGGACACGGAGTGGACGGGGACGTGGACACGGAGACCCGGCGGCTGCAGCCATGGCGCGGCGCTCCGGCAGAGGGAACCCCGGAACGGAGCGGGCTGTCCCCGCCTGACTTGAAGGGTGAGCGTCCAGGTGGGGGGGCCTCCGTTTGTGACGACCGGGCTGGGCTAATGGACGGCGCCTTTACGCGTTTAACCTTGGTGGGGATGTCTGACCAGAGGACTTTGGTTCTGCGGATGCTGTGTGCGCCTGCATGAGGCTGGCGGGCGGAGGAGGAGGAGGAAGAGGATGATGGTGATGATGCAGCAAAACAGCGATACAAGATGATGATAGAGACTGAAATGGATCCGAAAAGTCGCGAAGGCTTTAAGAAAAAAACGCAAAACCAAAGCCTCTAAGAGTGAGCACAGATGAGGGTTTCCGGTTGTGTGGATGCAGTGTGTGTCTTTTTAGGATGGGGTTGACTTGCATGTTAAGTTAGGCTCTGTTAGATCCACTAGTGTAGGTCAGGGGGTTTCTGTGCAGCCGCCTTAAGCCCAGAGTCAGCCTGGGTGCGTGTCTGTCATACAGACTATCTCCCCAATAATTGATAAGGCTACATCTATTTTGCAATTCAAGCGAAGCGTCATTTATTTTTGTAAGATGGCGACAGATATCTTTGCAAACTTCAGTTTGACATTGACAGTTGCTACAATGTTCCTTTCCCCCCTCTTGCTAAGATCTGTTCGTCCTGGTCCAATCAGAGTGGGAGGCATGCCCCGGGACCCTGAGGCTGAAGTCAGCTCTTGTTGTCAGGATGAGAGCTGTGTGAAAGGGAAGCTTTCAATGACCTTTGGATGTTTGGGATTGTACTATTTTCGTTGCAGATTACGTTCGCCTGTCCGAGACTGAAAGCCTTCCCAGCTTCGCTTGAGAGAAAAAGTTCTCAGCCTTCCCACAGGAAGTTAGTAAATCACATCAGATGGCGCTACTGTCAGCCCTGTAGTTTAAATGTGGGCAGTCCTGCACTGCATACACATAAGTCTTTCCAGAATCAAATAATGTGATAAAATATAAGAAAGAGAACACTGATATTACTGTGTGTGTGTGTGTGTGTGGCTGTGTCTGTGTGCGCTTGTGCGCACTATAAACCAAAAACTAGTCTTCTGAGGTGAGAACAGAAGCGTTTCTGAGACGTGTCATTTCTTTTCACACTACATATTTGGATGCATTTATGGAAATATCTAGATTATGCTACAGAAATAAGAATGAGGTTAGTAAAGGTGGTATCAATATGTTGTTCAGGTTATAATCGTGATCTTTGTGTATTCTTGTTTCATGTTGCACGGTCCATGCATTTGTTAAGACAGATATCAAAATGAAACATGCAGCTGGCAAACAGGTAGAAAGGCCAGGTGTAGCAGAGAGGAAGGTGAGGTCGAAGCCCTCAGAGGTCACCATCGGTGGGTGGGGGTGTTATTTTTAGTTGATGATGTCACATACACCGTCAGCTGGTAATGCCAGCTCTGCCAGTAACAACACGAACAGCAGTTCAACATCTGGGCTGTAAATGTTCTCCTTCTCAGAATCCAAGATTCCCGCATTTGTGGTGAACCAGCTCTGTGATCCCTCACTTTCTGCAGGTTCTGCCTTCCCCGATAGTCTTAAAGCTGTTAGGAGTTATTTTTTCATTTTGATAGCTGTGGGCAGGAAAAATCTTCTGTAGCAGTCTGTTTTACAACTAATCTGAGGAAGCCTCTGACTGAAGAGCCTTTGTTGTCTCATAAGTCACACAAAGAGGATGGTCAGAGTTTTCCATAATGCTCTTGATTTTATGCAAAATCCTTCTTTGCGTCCCAGAAGAGAAACCAGCCTTCTGGATCATGTTATTGAGCCTTTTTTACTCTAATGCTGTTGTCCCAACAGGTGACAGCAGAGGAGATGACACTCTAATTTAACTGCCCCAGCAGGTTCACAGCTTTCCTCCTGCCATGGCACCGAATTATAACTGAGTGAAAAATGGCCACTTACTACCCCTTTAAAAAGTGATTCAGAAATCTGTTGCTTCACAGACAATTAGAAAACCTAAATGAGGAGTTATACTTTATAATCATGGCTTGCTGTTAGTTTCAAATGAAGTCAATAGTTACTTTATTGTTACTGTTTTCCAGAAAGTCAGTGTTTTGCAACAGTAGTGGATTTCACCAATGAGTGCGAGAAGTATTGGAGAGAGTTCTGTAGCACATGGGCTAAGCACCCTTGCCGAGATGCCATCAAGTCCTGTAGCTTTGCACCTGCAGAGTTGTTTTTGTACATCTCTCTCTAAAAGGTTTTAGATAATTGGGGACCATGCAGAGTAGTGCACTTGGTGCCTTTAGACTCTTTACTGTAAGGTCTTTGGTGTCGAAATGGTTAAAAAATTAGTTGGTCTGATTACCCTGCCTGAAATTTGTGTATCTGAAGTCATACTCGAGTAAAAAAAAAAAATCGTCTTGGAGGACCTAATTTATTCAGTTATGTGATGACATCCTTCATCCACTGTAAAGCACGCTAGAACACTGGATTTTCACATTAGGGTGGTTTCCTGTGTGGAAGTAAACAGTACTTGTTGTGATTTGCTATCCAGTCTACATCTGTTGTGAACCTCCATTATAGAGACTGGTGTGCCAGTCTGGGTGGGTATCTGGTGGCAGTCCACAGTTCTAGATCAGGTGTGCATAACCTGTGAACTTAGATGTTTAAAAATGTTTGAGAAGAAATAGTTAAAGAAATAGTAACTCAAGAAGTACACAGACATGGCAGACAGGGGTCCAGCTTGTCTGGACATCCAGGTGTGAACTATTCCAATGCAAGCTGAAGGTCTTGGTCCATGAAAATCACATACAGGATCAGTGATGAGAGGCAGCCCTGGTGGAGCCCAGCATACACTATAAACAGGATTAGATTGGTGCTGAGCTCTTGCTTTGGTTATACAGGCACGCCATAGCTCCTCAGCAACCCTCACAGAATCCCCGGGGGGACAGGTTCGTAATCCTTTTCCTGGTCTACTAAACACATATCGACTGGATGGTCAAATTCCCACGACCACATGAAACTCTAACTCTAACATTGTTCCTCATGCTTCCGAGGTTTGATTATCAGTCCGAGCCTCCTCTCCAACTCCCTGGAGTAACACTTCCATGGGGAGTTGAGTAATGTGATACTAATGTTTGAGACTCTGAACAGGCTCACCATGTCCACAGCCTTTAATATCTCAGCGCAAATCTCCCACAGCCCCACTGCTTTACTTATGGAAAGCACAGAGTCATGGGTTTAATGAATGGATTTCAACCTGCTGGAAATAACTTACAAACAAGGAACTAAATTCCAGCTATTGTGCACCATCTGGATTAAGTACTAGGAGGCCTACAACTTAATGCCTCATGGGTACTACAATGCTTGGAGCTCTACAACTGCAACAGGACACTAAAAGCATTTTCTTGGAACTCAACTCCAGCAGCCATCTCTATGCCAATTTCCCAAGTGAACTCTATGCCATTGACTTGCTGATACACCTCACCAGGATATACAATGGTAGGATGTTCAAACTAGATTAATGTGGCTGGATGATATCAAGGAGTGCAAAGGAGATCGTGAGTGAACTACCAGTGGTTCACCATAGCAGATATGAAGGCTGCTACAAATGGTAACCATGAGGAGACTATAGGGAAGTCAGACACAACTAAGTTCATCCAAAGATCTAGGCAGTTCCTGTTGAGTTAGCTGAGGGGAAGGAACGAAGTCTGAGCTATCTGCACTCACCAGTGTCAGATACCCTACTGCTACAAGAGCCTGACCATAGGAGGAGAAAGATGCCTCACATTGTACAGAGGATATCACCCCAAGACCAGCACCCTAAGGCTGTGCACTATGCAGGGGGAGTGGAGGATGAAACAACAAAGAACCAGCAATAGCAAAGATTTCCCTCAGGGACAAACGATGAGGTGAGTGTCTCAGACAACTAAAAAGAAGGGAAGGTGCGGATGAAGAGGAACCATCATGGAAGATAAACCTCGTAATGAAATGTACCACCAAGAGATTGAAGAGAAGTCCTATCAATGACAAGAAAAGACTGGTCTGAAGGACAGCATCGAACAGCCCTTGAGCACTAACACAATAGAGGGTCCCAATTTTGAAAGAGAGGGTTATGGAAGAACGAGGATTATGTTTTTTATATATTCTTTTTATTCATACATATGGTACCATCGCACTATCAAAACTAGAATTCATATGATACGAACTATCATATAAACAACAAAACCACTATAAAATACAAATGCTTTATTACTCCAAAGTGGGCTATCCTGTACAACTAGACTTTTACATCGTTGCAAACAGAGACAGACTGAATACGTTTACATGTCAGTAATGTCAAGCATTGCAGGGTTTGAATGAACCCAACAAATCTTTGAAGCTCCGTGCCCTATGGAATTCAGTCCAAACTTCCCAGTAGGAAGGACTCTAGTGATGCATCATTGGCTGGGGTAATATATCAATGCAATACTTTTGTTTACATACCCAGAGACATTTGCCTCGTGAGAAAGATGTCATAAAACTGTATAGCCTCTCATGGTCCCCTTCAATCCCTGGAATATCTAGTCTAAGTAGTACATTTTGAACAGCCTTCTCCATGTGGGCTGGAAAATGGACTACAAGTAAAACAAGATGTAATTTTGAAGAGAGGGAGTTCTAGTTGTTGTGGTTCCTGTTGGAAGAACACAAGTTACGTATACTGGATATTGTAGATACATTGAAATAAGAAAGAATCATGCATGAAATATGATACGATTTTCTAATATTCTGACAAAAACTGAAAGATCTTGAGTCCCCCAAACAGAAAATTACACGTAGATCTATAGTAATCATTGACTAAAACCTGCATTAGGTTAGTAATGCATATCCTGCTCTTCTGCTTCCACCTTGGGTTGTGCTGGTTTGGGATACAAAGACTGTATTAACTCTCATAAGGCTTTATGCTATAAGTAATCTGCCAGGATCTTAAAAGATAAATCGAACATATTTGCAGAGTAATACTTGCCCCACCACATGCCAAGTATTAAGACTCAACAGGTAGCTCTTATTGGAAGCCAACACCATCTACATCAACCATACCATCACTGGTGAGCACAAGTGTATACAAAGACTAGGTGACAATGCAGTACTCCACTCAGGAATCACAGGGGTTAAAGGGTATTAGTCCAAAACTTTTCTGTTAATGGACTAAAATCTTCTCACTCAAAATTATCTACGACAGAATATTTTCTATAAATTATTTCTCAGAAAAGAATTTGAGAGCTGCAAATCAAGCTGAACACTTCAGATTGGGATGTTTCAATAAATGTTCTTATCATCAAGCGTTAGCTACAACCAATTCACCATAGCCGGTATGGTGGTGTATAAAGTAAAAGGGTGTACCATTTCATATGGATTGTGTGTGTGACTGAGAAGCTCAATTGAATTATTCATCTCTCTACACCTAGTTCAGTGCTGATTTACCCCGGGAAATAAGGCCACATGTCAAGCTGTTTGGAAGATGTTGAGTGCTGGTTGCCGATGATATGTGTTATCTTGCTTAACCACGACTGAACATTTCAGATGGAACAAGTGTGTAATAGTATTTGAGTGTGTGTGAGGGGCGTTAATAAAGCTGATAAGACAGCTGAAGGAAAATGCTGATAAGCTGCTGTGTATGAACCCTTCAAAACTAAACAAACTATGTGTTGACTTTTGTTTTAGAAAAAGATTTTCACATATACATGTCAACAGTCAATGTAAGCAAAGCAAGAACTATGTAGGTAAAATCTTTTTCAAAAAATGGTATAGATTCCTTTGTTAAAAGTATAAGATTCCTCAGTTTGTTTTGCTGTCTTCTCTTTTACTGACCGTCTGCTTCCCTCTGTAGAGATAGGAGAAAGGTGGGGCTGAGGGGAGCCCACATTTGAGGTGCAAATGCCGTCACTGTCTGGTTTTACTATCCAGTGCATACCTTTTTAGATCATTTACATTTGTAAGGAAAAGATGTCATTGGATTTTGAGCTGCCTTTTATTGGCAGACTTTATATTGAGCATGCTGACTTTTGCATGTCTGCTGTAGACGAGCCTGAGTCTGGTAAGATTATTCTATTTGATGGTTTCCAAGGGAAAGTTTAAGTTGTCCTATTTTGTGCATTTGTAGATTAAACAATCGCTTTGACAATTGATGGAAAAATGCAAAGTTACTTTGAAGCAATAAAGGGTGTAAATACATTCCAGTGATCAAAGTTAGCATTGAAAACAAGTGAAAGGTTTAAGTTTAGGTTAAGTCTGTGATAGGCTCAAATACCTGGAGACATTTTTTGTTCTGCATTTTTTGAATGCTGGACTTGTTCCAATTGAAAGTTCCACTGTATTTTACAAAATGTACAAGGCATGCTTTATAGACAACAAGGACATTATTCGGACATAACTGTAGGATTCTATTATCATTTGTTAATAATAATGTTAATAATTGTGTCTGTTAATAAGTATATTGCAGGCATTCATTCATTTTTGGTTTGGATTTGTTTACTGTGTCCGTGTAAAGTTTTTGAATGAGATTCTAATCTTTTTTCAATATGACTCCGAAGCCTATATGTTTTTTTTTTTATCTTTTAGCCCAGTCTCATTGACAAATTATGAAAAGACTGTGTTATCATATGTCAACATATTTTAACGATCTCTCTTGACTAAGTAGCTCTTTATGTGTGTAAAATTATAACCTAAATGGTGCAAAAAAGCAGGCAAAAACAAGTTTTCAAGTCGGCACTTGCCAAGCAGGCATGTAGTGCAATCATCCAGCCCTTCTCACGTCCAAATGAAGACTTTTTCCATATAATATGATGCAGTATTTCATTTTTAAAACAGAATGCTTTGAGATTGGGTCTGATTTTTACATACCCAAAACACGTTCATGTGGAACTAGTGTAGATTTACAGCTTGTATGTATCTCTAATACCTGATGTTTTGCAGGTCTGGCAGTATTTGATAATCTGTGAGTCTGTGAGTGATATAGAGAGCGCTAGCTGAAAGTGTGAATTACTCTGAGAAACATCCGATGCTCTGATAATTCAGTCTAGGTGAATTTGATCTGGTTTAAAATGGAAAAAACTATGTTTTGGGCATGGTAGTGGCAGCAGAATGCGCTTACCCTACTTGTCAATCTATATTTGGACTTAATGGTGAAATAAGTGTTCTTTATCTCAGTTTTTTTTTTTTTTTATCATCATCCAAAATTCTCTATTCCTCTCAGGTTAAAGACACATAATGACCGAATTAGAAGCCGCTGGTGTGGTGGAGCCTCCCCCACCCTATATCATCTTTCTGGTGGTCTTCTTGTTCTTCATGACTGGACTGCTGGGTTTCCTCATCTGTCACCTGCTGAAAAAGAAGGGCTACCGCTGCCGAACTGGGGATTTGGATGAAGAGGAGGATGAGGAGGAGGAGAAGCTTGGAGAAAGTGCAGATGGTACGTTGAGCGGACAAAACCTTGGAGATAACATTAGGGAATTGACAATGTTACATCTGAAGCTGTGTGGGTCGTTCCCTAGGGATACTTTTTAGTACGTGAAAAAGAGGGCCTATTGTCATCAGAGCTTTTTGAGAAATGTAAGATTTTGTACAGTTGTCATAGCGGAATAATGGAATCGGCCTTTTTTATATCTATGCCACATTTATCTATTCGCCCCTATTGAATTGACATTTAAAAAGAACACATGAAGCAACCAAAGTTCAGCAAAGTCCTGTGTAAACACATAACAGACGAAGATAAATGAAACAGTAAGGATGCTTTAGAGTGATTAAAATGATTGAACGGATCAATGCTGGTCAATAATACGGAAAACTGATCAGTGGTGGTGTTTTAAAGCTGCCGATAGCTTTTAGTGACAGTGAAGGTACCCTCTCCTTTTTGAAGTAACCTTGCACAGAGAATAAAGCCACATCTTAGAGCATCTAAGAAGTCTGGAATTAGAGTAAGGGGATCATGAGTGTGAGTGTATCCAAGCACAGGCCAAGGAACAAAAACACGAGGATACAAAAACCTTCAAAAGAGCCTATCCCTGTGAGAGAGGCGGGTCCACCCCGGACAGGCCACCAGTCCATCTCAGGGCCACACAGAGACACACACAACCCCACACATAACTCACAGTCACTCCGAGGGGCAGTTTAGGATGTCCAGTTAACCTGACATGAAGGTTTTAGGACAGTGGGAGGAAGCCATGCAGACATAGAGAGAACATACAAACTCCACACAGAAAGAACAGAAAAGAGCCAAAAGACAGTTCAATATATAAAGCGCCCATGTAATCCAACATAGAGTGTGTCGGTTTAGCTAAAAGCGTTGCATTGTTCATAAGATGTAGGTTTAACCTATTTGTGCACACTGCTTTGATGTGTTTCAGAGGACAATGAGGACAACCAGGACACAGTGGAGCAGATCCTTAAGTGTATCATAGAAAATGAAGGTAACGAGTTTTAAAGTAATGCTCAGAGACTGTTGGAAAATGTAGTTTTAACACGCTTCATTTGTTCAAATGATGTCTTCCGTTATGCTTTATTGTTTTGCCAGTGAGATATGTTAAAGAAACGTCATATTCATCTTCCTCGGACGTGACCATTTTCATGCCACCCTTTGTTACCTCGCACAGTAAAAATATCTACTGATATTGTTACTTCTTTTCTTATCAGTATGTGCAACTGTATCTGAAATTTGGATTTGTTTTGACACTTCTAGCTAATATGGAGGCCTTCAATGAGATGCTGGGAAACCACAACATCTGCGTGCGCCATGATCCCAGGTAAACACCCCCCCGTAAACGATAACACCCCTACACCCTGTCAGCTAGAAAATGTTTTATGTGTTTTTCTTGATCCAGTTCAACCAAACAGAACACTGTGCAGATTATTTTAGGGTTTTATTAAGATCTTCCAAGTAATTCTCATGAATTATACCACCATTGGTTGTTTTCCATGAAGTAAGATTGACATCTAGTGGTCATAGTCACAAACTATTTAAGCCCAAATAATGAATAGATATACCTTCTGAATGGTAACTTCAGCCCATTCATGAACCCTTTTACCTGCTTTTTTGTGTTAACATATGGTAAAATGACATCTTTGGTCAGCTCTGTTGAAGTACAAGAATTGGATAGGTATTGTAGGATTTTCGTCATTAATACATCTGTAATTGATACTATTTCAATTTACCTTGGTCATTCGAGTACCTTCTTTACACTGTGTACTCTCAACACGGGATAACCAGCTTCACAGCTTATGTAATGGAACTGTTTATTTAATGTTGTCTCGATGGATATGTAATATATAGGGATTTATCTCCTCCTGTATCCTACCAAAGCATCTGTCAAACACCACTGAGCGAATAGAAATTCAGCTTTTTACCACCGGATGTCAGTTTTGAACTGGAATGTGGAATGTCAGGTGTAGAAATGATGAGATCAGTCACTCCTTGCCTTCAGGGTGTTGTTCAAAGGTTAGGGATGGTGTTAAGCTGGAACCTCTTGCTAAGTGTCGTCCTTAAGGATGAACTTGGTGGCTTGGATTGCAGTGGAACTCATCAACAGGGGTTCTCAGATCTTTATCCCTTGGCAGACTTGACTGTGTTCGTGATGTTTGAGCTAAACTGTCACATCTTAATGATATAACCTGATTTAAAAGCCTTGTTGATCTCCAGGTTTCGTAAGGAGTCCATTGGTGGTGCTCCTCCGCATTTTCACACCGTCCACTCAGGCACCGACCACAACTCCTGCCACCTCTGTGCCCAAGTTCGCTCTAAAAAGGCTTGCCGACCCAGCAGAACGCCTCGCGTCAAACAGCGTCCCGGGGAGCAGACAGTCTTTTCTGTTGGAAGGTAACAATTCACCATTTAACCATTTGATGAAATGCACATCAATGGGAAAGACCACATGCTAGATCAGTGTGTTTCTCTATCCCCTCAGGTTTCGGGTGACACATACCGATAAGAAGCTCAATGGAGGCTTTAATGCGCTGGCCGTCTCCGGGGACCAGCTGGACCAGTCCCAGGACAGCGATGACAGAAAGGAGGGGAGCTATAATTTGAGAAGCATGTTTAAAGAAGGCCGATCCCCTGCAGAAAGTGCTAAAGGAGGGGCTGCAAATGTGGGGAAACGGAAGAAAAGTGTGACTATATTTGGTCTGAGACGGGGCAGTGACCCTATAGGGATAAAAGTAAAAGAGGGGACAAGGATGGAGACTGAAGGGATCAAATTTGCTGCCCAGCAGCCACCTGTAGTTCTGGAGGAACCTCAACAGACAGATACTGAACATAGTATAAAACCTGCTTCCAAGCCTCAAAGTGAGCCTGTTGGAGCTCAGTGGGAGGCTAAAGACTCTGGTTCTGTTCATTCTCTCCCTATCCAGGGTCAGAATCAAGCTCACAACTCCAATCTGGGTTCTCTGGAACAAATCAAACTCGTTCAAAGTCCTAAGCTTCATGCACAAAGGCTGACACCGCCTCCCAGTGGGAGCACAGCAGTTTCTGTTCCCACCTCACTTTCTGCTCTATCTGACAAAACAGTCAATGTTGATGAGTTCAAAAAGGGGGAGGAGGCTTACAGCCCAGGACCAGTACAGACCTCAACACCCATCGCCCCAATGCCGGCATCCACCTCAGGTTTTACTCCTGCTATAGCCACTGGTAAGTCCGAGCCCGGCACTCTCCAAGGATCCTCACCTGGTCAGACTCCCTCCGAGCCCATCTCCAGCACTGATCTAGAGCTAGGATCTGGTGCTGGAGCGATGCGAAGTTTAGGTTCCTCCCCTCCATCTTCTGACCCGAACAAGACTCTGCTCTCGGTGACTTCGGTAAAATCTCCTACCTCATCCCTGGCACAGTCGCCAAGCCCCCAAAGTAGCTCAAGAAAGTCACCATTGAAGGAAACGGGAACTGCCTCTTCCCCCACCCTCATATCACACCCTAAAGTCCTGCCAGACCAAGAAAAGCTGAGCCCACCTACTCATTTATTGTCCTCTTTGGGAAAAAATGCCAGCCCTTTAGAAGAACAAATGCCATCTCCCACAGTGGTTGACCCAAAGCGAGCATTCACAAGCCCGTCCTCTCCCAGAATGAGGTTACCTGTAACCCAACCGGACCTACAAGGAGACACAGTCCCGAAGACTGAAGAAAGAAGTGAAAAAAAGAGAGCTGGGATTCTAAAAAACGCTAAAAGGTCTCCAGAAGCAATAAAAGAATCCGGCGCCTCTCCCACTGGGGAGCGTTTTAAAGACAGACCGAGCAGCTTGTCACCTTCAAGTCCATCATTCCCAACCTCCCCTCAAGGAGGCAGAATAAGCAGCGTGACCGTGGTAAAAGCCAGCCCCGACAGCAAGAGGGAGTTCTCTGTTGTCACCATGGTCGACGAGGAACCCTCTTCTCCAGTTAAAGGTCAGAAAGCAGAGACTTCTGAAAAAGCATTGGGATTAGGAGAAGAGGATAGGAGCCCGGCTTCCTGTGAACAAAGAGACATTTCTGTTGGTCAGTCAGAGGGTCCGACAAGAGAAACTTCAGGAACGAAGATTAGTCAAGTGAGTCAAGAGAAGGAAGTTATGATGGAGATGGAGGACATTAAAGGGTGCAAAGTCGCGCCGGCTGAGGAAGAGAAATGGGCAACAGGATGATGCCCACTCATCCAGAAGTGAAGTCCTCAGATGGTAAAAGGATTTCCTCTGAGAGTGACCCCATTCAGTCAGCTACAAGAAATGAGCATTTATAAAACTAACCAATTTAGATCATCATTAGTATGCTTTGAAATATTTAAGCACAGCAGTAAAGATGTTGCAGGGAGACTGGATAGGCCGATTGACCGAATGGACCACTGTAGAAAAGAGTTTTTTTTCTAAGATTTTCTTAAATTTGAAACGTGTGAATTCTTTTTGGTTTGAACAGTGCCTGTCTATGCTGCTAACACCACAGAGATTTTCCACCGCTCTCATTATGTGTGGGATGTATGTGTGAGAGGGAGGGAGACGGGCCATAGCTGCATTTCCTCACAGAATTAGCCAGCTTCTACCTAAAGACCTACATTCCACAGATTTAGCTCAGACATTGGCATTGTCCTCAAGATGAATCATGGATGTTAGTTTAAAATGCAACAGGGATGTGGGGAAATGTTGCGATTTAAAGGAGTCCAAACCTTTTCAGATCTTTGTGCAAATTTACCCAGTCTGTCGAGCCTCTTAATCATTCTCTGAGACTCTCAGAAACCTGCTGAGTTAATTCTGCAATACACTTATCAGAAAAATCAAACTCAGATAAGATTCCCTTTCTTAAACATGAAAATGCTCACAGTGATTCATAATTTCCCCCATCCAACCACATCCAACTGTGGTTTACAATGACCTTCTATCTGTAAATGTTCATCTCCTTTTGCCCCCTCACGTGTAGAAGATGAGATCTTTTCCCCTGATGAATCAATGATTAATGAAGCACATGTTTTTGCTCCTGTCTTTGACTGGCTTCTTTTCAACATTCTAAATGGTCCACAGACTACTATGGTTCCATGATCTGGCCTCATTCTTAGGCTGCTTCATTTAATTCGTTTAAATCTCTGTCCCATTTGCCTTCACTTTAAAAACCAGTCCAAGCCATATTTATCTATAAAGCACATTTTAAACAGGCGGACTGATCCAAACTGCTGTACAGTGAAATGTAGATTTAAAACCTTTAAACACAAACGTGCAAAGCTGCCTCAAAGCAAATACAAAAAGGCAGAAGAATTACAGCTTCAGCTTGATGTCTGCCTTAACTGTACAGAGGCACCTTTTAGAACCACAGCCTACGATCACTGCACCATTTGTCGTTGCTCTTTTTTACGTTGGGCTCCACAAAAACTGAGTTTAAAAGAGAGTTTCAATGCTGAAGAAGGGGCGGCACCAGAGGTATTAACTTCTGCTTTCTTTTCATTCAAAAGTCATTGAACTAATGCTTACAGGCCACATTAGGTCTATACCCGATTCTAGTGATATTTATGACTTCTTATACTCATTAAGCATATCACCAAGTCACATGTTAAAGTCAAATGTTGAGACACATAACACACCCTATCACAAACTTAACGACTTGAGTTTTTAAATATGCACGACTTTAACCAGGAGAAAAGAATCGAACAATCTGGTAGAGCTGACTGATAAAGTGTTTTTAGATAAGCAGCGATCTTATTTATGATTGTTTCCTTACGTTCTACACTGAACCACTTTACACCCCTCCACAGTGCGAATCGTCCACTGCAAACACAAAATGGTGTGTACAGAAATGTCCTAATGGTGCAGTAAGAAGTGGGCATACTGTTATCTGTGTATGTATACTTTCTCCAATAAATGGCAGCTTGCTGTGAACATTGCAATTAAACCTACCGTTTCTACCCATTTTTCACCTTTAAACGACCGAGGTAAGTAATTCTTTCATCTTATAATGTATTCGACTCCAAAATGAACTGTTATTAATGTAATTACATTTAATACAGAATAATTAGTTATTTTTATTGACATTTCAATAAAAGTTTCCCCACCCACAAACATCCCTTTACAAGCATTTCATTCAATTCATTATTACGACCTACCTTAATTGGTAACAAAACAAGGGAATTAAATATAAAACAGGTTGAAATAAAGTGTTACACATACAAAAACTCAGCTGCATGGATCTGAAATGTGCTGCTTGTCTGTGGATTTCAATAGCTGTCGCAGATTCATAGCTGAGTTGAGGGTTTCTGTTTTGCTGGTGGGGGAGGAGGTGGTGCTCGACACTGAAATGATAAGAGGTTAGTGGAGAAGATAGTTCAGCTATTCTACTAAAATATTTTTTTAAATTTAATTTTTATTTCAATATTCACAACTTACATAGACATATACATACAAGCCCAAATTTAGTTTGCTGCTCTTCAATTACAATATCCTTAAAGCAACTTTAAAAGTATAAGCATCAGGTTAAACTTACAAGTGAAGTGGAATACATGATTAAACATCTATCCAGCCATCCATTATCAATACCGCTTATTGCCTGATGGGGTCACGGGGATGATTAAACATACAGACTTATTTATAAGTCGTAAATTAATAAGCAATGCAAATTAAGATAAATAAGTGAAATTAAATAAAAATCATAAAAATAAAAGAAATGATAGAGAAAATATAAAATATATGATAATAATAATAATTATATTAATAATAATAATAATACATACATACATACATACATACATACATACATACATACATACATA